GAACCCAGGAGACGGAGGTTGCGGTGAGCCGAGATCGCGCCATTGCACTCCAGCCTGGGTAACAAGAGCGAAACTCCGTCTCGGGGGGAAAAAAAAAAAAAAAACTTTTTCTAAGCTTGTTACAAGGTTACATCTCAATAAAAGAAATATGACCTTATTATATTAGTTTATAAGACTTAGATAGCTATTAATCATCTACCCTATATTTCTTCTCTGCTATCAACATGTATGGGAAAACAGTAAGAAATTAACAAAGCTGGGCCGGGCACAGCGGCTCACACCTGTAATCCCAGCACTTGGGAAGGCCAAGGCAGGTGGATCACCTGAGGTTAGGGGTTTGAGACCAGCCTGGCCAACATGGCGAAATCCCGTCTCTAACAAAATACAAAAATTAGCTGAGCACAAGGTGGCAGGTCCCTGTAATCCCAGCTACTTGGGAGGCTGAGGCAGGAGAACTGCTTGAACCTGGGAGGTGGAGGTTGCACTGAGCTGAGATTGCCCCACTGCACTCCAGCCTCAAGACAAAAGTGAAAACCGTCTCAAAAAAAAAATTAACAAAACTTTCACCTTTTTCTTCCCATTCAGAATGACTGGTATTACAGATGCTAAGTAGAGGTTGAGGCACTCCCAGTGTATTTTTTCTGTACTGAAAAAAGTCTGAAAGGAATTAGTTTTAAATTCATAATATAATCAAGAAAGAATTTTACGGGATGGCAAGTTAAGGTGAAGCATATTCTCTAAATACCAGAGATTATTTTAAAAAATGTATCTTTGCCAACCAATGGGGGAAAAAGCAAAATAAAATGTATCTTTCTCTATACTTTAATAACCTTTTTTTTTTTAAATTCAGTCCCCGTAGACTGTCAAAAGTTGCCAATGCCAATTATATTTCAAGTCGTCATGACGCGGTATTGGGAAAAGTTTTCAATTAGCAATAATCGTGCTTCAGATAAACCTCCTTGGCTACGAAACTGCCACTGCGCAAAGCTTACCTTAATAGCTTGATAGATACAGGTATTGATCGACTTGTGACCTATGCAACTTACGACCATTCAACTTTACGACCACAATCGCTAGCCACAACTGTTCTGCGTCTGGCAGCGCAAACGTTGCCCAACTGGGTGTAAGACAGTGCCGACCAGCTTCCGGCAGCACTACCATCTCCACGTGCACCATTTCAACTGTTATCCCAGACTCGGTACAGCAATTTGTGTTTTGTGTCTTGGATATTTTTCATCAAACCCCTCCCAATAAACTTCTTATACATTTTGAAGCAATGGACCCAAACATGGAACAATTTGCAGGCATTGAACGGATGGCGCACGATGTGTTTCGTTCGTATTGTGAAATTTATGAAGAAAAAAAGAAACATACAATTCAGACAAAGCTCACCATGTTTATGAAAAAACCAACTCCGGTAACCCCAACTGCTGCCTCAGATGACGACATCAACGATCCGCAGCCAAGCACCAGCGGCCAATAAAATGTTTCTTACATGTTTATATATTTTGATATGTTTTGCAATTGGGAAAATGTTTCCTATGGTATTTTTTACACCTGTATTTTGTATTTTTATATGCACCTGTATTTTGTAATTTTGCATGTTTTGCAAATATTAAACCAGTTGCACTGGTAATGCAGTGTTTTACTTAAACCTGACGAATGTAAAAAGAAGAAACAAAATGGTGTAGAGATGATACAAATGGCATAAAATGAACAAAGAAAATTATGATATATAATAATGAAAGAAAATTATGATAAAATATGACTTAAAGATTTTTATAACATCATTTCACAGTACAGTACTGTACATATAGCCTACTCAACTTACGACCAAATTGTGTTATGACCGGTCTGTCGGAACCAATCGTGGTCGTAAGTCGAGCACTGGCTGTAGTGTTTAAGTGTTATTTCTCAAAGGAGGATATGTTTCTTGGATTCCTTTAAATCTCTGACAAACTACAATGTTATGAAAAACTTAAAATGCAGGTAACATTATACGTTAATGTTAAACTATTAACTTCTGTGGTTGGCATCTAAAACTCATACACTCCACAAGTAATTTCATGCAATCAATAACACTATTTAAAAAAATTGGGTCAGGCACGGTGGCTCATGCCTATAATCCCAGCACTTTGGGAGGCTGAGGTGGGTGGATCACGAGGTCAAGAGTGTGAGACCAGCCTGGCCACATGGTGAAACCCCGTCTCTATTAAAAATACAAAAATTAGCTGGGGATGGTGGTGCATGCCTGTAGTCCCAGCTACTCAGGAAGCTGAGGTAGGAGAATTGCTTGAACCTGGGAGGCAGGGGTTGCAGTGAACTGAGATGGCACTACTGCCCTCCAGCCTGGGCAACAGAGCAAGACTCTGTCTCGGGGGAAAAAAAAAAATTGGCCAGGCGCAGCAGCTCACTCCTATAATCCTAGCACTTTGGGAGACTGGTTGGGCAGATCACTTGAGGTCAGGAATCACTTGTCCACCAGCCTGGCCAACATGGCGAAACCCCATGTCTACTAAAAGCATAAAAATTAGCAGGGTATGGTGGCACATGCCTGTAGTCCCAGCTACTCGGGCAGCTGAGGCACGAGAATCGCTTGAACCGGAGATGCGGAGGTTGCAGTGAGCGGAGATCATGCCACTGCACTGCAGGCTGGGCAATAGAGTGAGACTCTGTCTCAAAAAATATTTTTTTTAAATCACAGAATCTAGGTACCCTGGGGGAAAAAAAATCACAGAATCTTGGATTTTGAAGGGTCCTTAGAGATCTAGTGTACATTCTAATCTGATGACAAAATCCCTTCTACAATATCCCTTACAGTGAAATGGTCAACTATTCTTTGCTTCAACATATTCAGTGACAGAAAACACTTTTTCGAAGCCAACTCTTTGATTGTTAGGATAGCTTTGTGAATACTTCCTTATAATGAGCCAAAATCTGCCTCCCATTTGTCCTGGTTTGACCCTCTAGTACATGACATTGCTTCAAATATTTAAACACCCCTGTCCCTAAAGCCTTTTCTCTGCTAAACCAAACCACTTCAATCGTGTCAAAGCACCATATAAGATGCTAACCCCGCTGTTATCTTCATCACCCTTGTCTGATCATCTTTAGTTTTATGCTGCCACCCTGAAAGCATTTAACCAAAGCTAAATATATTAATAAAAATATTTTTGTGGGCCGGGTGCGGTGGCTCAAGCCTGTAATCCCAGCACTTTGGGAGGCCGAGGCGGGTGGATCACGAGGTCAAGAGATCAAGACCATCTTGGTCAACACGGTGAAACCCCGTCTCTACTAAAATACAAAAAGTTAGCTGGGCATGGTGGCGCGTGCCTGTAATCCCAGCTACTCAGGAGGCTGAGGCAGGAGAATTGCCTGAACCCAGGAGGCGGAGGTTGCGGTGAGCCGAGATCGCG